AGTGCGCTGGGAGACGGGGGTGAGAGAGTGCTGGTTGAGTATCGGGCTGTATGTGCTCTGAATTCTTAATGAGCCCGAGTTGTCGCCACAGGTCCAGCCCGACATTTTCCATCCCTTTCAAACGCACCGCCAGCCCTCGCCGAGACACGCGTGACCGATCCCCGCGGGTCCCCCCCCCCCAACACCGCTCGGCCGGGACGGGGAGCTCGAGCTGGAGGGGCCCGTGCACTCCGAGCCGGGGCGGCGCGCGCGCGCGCGAGGGTGTCTGTGTGTGTGCGGAATGTCTAATGAACCGGAACCAGACCGGCGGCGGTTCGGGGGCTCGGACGGGCGTCGCGCAGGACTCAGCCAAGGCTGAAGCACCGCGGCCGGTTTCCACATTCGCCCCCGTCAGCTCCTCAGGAGCGCGGGCAGCGTCCAGCCCACGGAGCGGACACACAAAACAACAAACGTGTTCCTGCGAGACGCCGCGGGGACAGCGGGCGAGCCAAGCCCACCCTCCGTGTCCCCCCTCCCCACGCCGGCTGCACTGACGACACTGCCGTACGGTCTCCCGGTACCGCCGCGGCGCCGGACTGCGGGGCCCCGGGTCGGGTCCACTCACACTTCCAGGATCCGGTCGCCCTTGGAGATGCCGGCTCGGTCCGCCGCCCCCCCCGGCAGCACGGCGCTGACGTGCTGGAGGGGCGCGTACAGCTCCCCGTTAATGCTGCGGAGCTGTCCGCCTTCGCTGACCTGCCCCCGCACGTTAAACCCGTATCCCGAGTCCGACTTGACGATCCGGACCAGCCGCGGGCCCGACGCGACCGTGGTGGCGGTGCCGCAGGGCCCGGAGCCGCTCTTGGGCGGCGGGTGCAGAAGCGAGGGCGGCCCCGACCGAGTCCCGTCTCCCTCTTCGTCCGCCATCTTTTCACAACAACATATGCAGGTTTTACAGCGGAGCCCGGCAGCAATTACACCCGAGCTGCCTTTTCGCTCAGACAGCTCTACAGACCGCTGCCGTCAGCATCACAAGACTCGCCCCCCCCTCTTCCCCTCCGCCTGGCCGGGCTCGCCAAGCATTGTGGGACGTGTAGTTTAAATCACCCCTCACAAACTGGAGAGTCCGCCAGTGTGGCCGGCTTTGAAAACTACATTTCCCACAAAGCCACAGAGACGAACGCTATAATCTGGTGTGCGTGATGGCAGGAATTCTGGGAAGCAGAGTTTGGTTTGAGCGAGAATCTCCTTGCTGAACTGAGGTTTTAAACCAGAACTCTTTTTTTTTTAATGAATCTTGCAGTGGTACAGTTTAGAGTATTTCCCAATAAGTCATAAAAAACGCGAAATATTTCGCTCATATTTCGCTCATATTTCATGCATAGTTTCCTTATACACAAACTCAAATCAGAACAGATACATTTTATTTGGTGATATTATTGTACTTTTGATGTACAGTGTAGGCTCAGCAGTCTTTTTTAATATAATTAAAATAAATGTAATAACGCTACAAAAATTTACAACTTGATCAGATGAGCCATTTACTGAAACAATCAATCAGAATGGCTGAGCAGAGTTTCCTACTTGAGAAATATGAGTATTTACTTGTTTTAAAGAACGGCTACAGTATTTAAAGAACTGAGGTGTCCATTTCAATTAGGTAATTTCTCACCCAGAGCAAGGCTGGAACAGTGTTCCTGGGTCTTTCCTCAAAAGCACTAAGCAGTGGAATGTATTTTACAAGTTTTAAATAAGAAACCACACTTCTTAGTTAACAATGTCCAAAAGTGTGTCAAAACTCTGCAGTCTCTCCCAGTGTCTGGGGGTTTATACTGTGTCTCCCG